GAGTCTTTTCGTCAGTCCAACGTATTTCTGTCAACGTCTTCCCCACACATGGAAAAAAAGCTTGAACTGGACCACATTTCAATTACACCCTGTTCCATGCAGACTTTTTTAACTGACTCTATGATTGACAATAATGTTTCATCTTCTCCTCATAAGATCCCTCGGAGGACATATGTCCAACTCATCATTCTCTGTTCGAATTTCACTCGACATCCTGCCTTGATTGTGTGATGTCGCTCAAAGGTCTCCCCATTATGTGTTCAATCAATTTTCATTATCTTTCCATTGTCCAATATTTACTGGGCAAAACATTCTTGGTTAGTAAGTTGTCGGAGGTCCCCGTTGCCAATCTGAAACGAGGCAAGGCAGCAGCATGACCTGATGGAATGAGTCCAGAGGTGCTTGAAAACGGTGTAGACAATTTACTGTCTTGATTAACTAAGGTATTAGACAACGTCTTGTAACGAGAGATGGTCCCGTTGGGCTGGTGTAAGTCATCGATTTTCTCAATCTACACAAGGAGGAAGAAAAATCTTCAAAAAGGGTATCAGCTCGATAAATGCAGGTGTATCTAAAGTTCACTACCACAGTTTCGTTTGGAAACCGAAGTTATTCAGATCACAGTAAATGATCTGCTTGATACCACCTTGAATAGTGATCAAGAAAGCAAGCATGTTTGCAGAAAAACATCTATGTATACTACTGAATAATTGGAAAACTGTGGTGAGAATTTCAGGGTGACAGTCTTAGTGTTTTCTACCAATCTGATTCTCAGAGACTTTTCCACTGTTTATAACTAACCCGTTTGTTGATTTCAAACCCTTGTGTGATATAACATTTTCCTTCATTTCTCTGTTACCTGCTGATTACTACCGATTTGATCATATTAAATTATTTATTTGACTACGCTTGTCTCTCATTCTTCTTTATGTATTGTGATTAAGAATATTAAAAAATATGATTAAGAAAAAAATTCACCACACAGTGTGAAACAGTATTATTTACTGTATGAGAATGGGTTTCAAACACAGCTCATCATTCATTCATTGGTTTGCAAGGATTTGATTGGTCACAAGATTCCATGATGAGCTGACATCGGTTAGAGAACCATTGGTAAACTGGCAGTAAGTACTGGACATCTGTTTCGTCCTAGTGCCTAGGTCTCTTCAACAGTATTGTCACTTCCTTCATTTATCTAGGAAGCATCGTCGAAGAGGCAAGGCAGACCGCAATCACTTTCAAATTAGTACGGAAATCTTCTCGGTTACACTGAAGCATAAACAACCGAATTCAGATTTTCAATACGATTTTAAGTCAGTCGTTTCTTCTATATGGGCAAGAAAGTTGGCAAGTTTCGTAAACCATTTCTAGCAAGTTGCAGATATTTATCGACAGCTGCCCTAACACTGAAGTGACTAAAAGAAAACTTTCTGCGCTGAAATGTCTTTTATTCTCCTCAAAACTAGTTGAGATTTAACAGTGCATCGGCAATGAAACACTCAAAACCTAATTTGCACACAAATAAACATCGAAAATATAAAAATCAGTCGTAAAAATTATAAAAATACTTTTTTGGTCATTCTTTGGTGTAAATAACCCCCTCACCTTACTAACCACGTATAAATTAACAAAACAGAGTGAGATGCGTCTGCATATTTTATCGGAAGATATTATTAAAAAATATTTAACCTGCATTGCGAATATCATCAGATGTAGTTGTCGCAAATACATTGTTGTCTAAGTTTATAAATACTGAGAATTAGAGTTAGCAGACTGAACAAAAACAAGAACGGTTAGATTGAGAAAAATGTTTTTGTTTTATTTATGTATTTTTTTTTGTGAATCAACACATTGACAAAACAAGTAAAAAGTGAATGAGTTTTAGAAAAAAATGGGTCACTGTTTTTTTTTTACTGATAAATGAACGATAGTGGCAAAAAGAATAGGAGTGGAGGAAAAATCTCTCTTGCTAACCAGCCACAATAACTGGGAGCACTTGCTGGACAGCTGTTATGTTCTTCTAGCTTAAGACTGACACTTTCAGAACCTTTTGGTCAGCCACACGGGTTGGAATTTATTGACCTGTGTGAATGCTAACTTGTGTCAGTTCACAATTTTTAATTTGAGCAAAAATATCCATCCAGACGTAGGAATATGTCGGTGGCTTAGTGGTGGAACACTAGCCAACCAAGCAGGTGGTACAGCGTTCCATCCTCATTTGACGCATACCTTTACCTCACTTAACCAGTAATGAGCTCGGTAAAGAGGGAACGTTGGGAGGGAGGCTAGTAATCCATTCCCGTAGAAGTCACCACTGCTACTGAAACTCCAAAGCTCCCTATCTATCTGAATTAAAACAAATGAATTCTACTGATTTACAAGCATTCTTACTAATGTATTGAAATTAAACATCACTTGAATTGAATTTTTGATTTTCCCGTCGATTGATTGGACCGAAGTGTTCGGTCTCAGGTTGACATGTCTGTTGGCTTCTTGTGCAGATGCTTCGACGATGATTCTGGGTATTGAATTAGTACACAATTGGTGGATGGTGGCCAGCAGTGGAATCCAGGATAAAGCGCATTTCGTCCTATTTGGGACTCGTCAGCTGGATGTACCTGCATTTCTCAGTGAGTGACGATGTTCCCACCGAGGCTCGAACCCAGTACCCATAGTTTCGAACGCCAAAGCGTTATCCACTAGACCACTTGGGCCACGAGAGCCACCTCTTGTGCAACGGATCATATTAATTATTGAATTGAATTTTTGATTTTCCCGTCGATTGATTGGACCGAAGTGCTCGGTCTCAGGTTGACATGTCGGCTTCTTGTGCAGATGCTTCGACGATGTCTGGGTATTGAATTAGTATACAATTGGTGGATGGTGGCTAGCAGTGGAATCCAGGATAAAGCGCATTTCGTCCTATTTGGGACTCGTCAGCTGGATGTACCTGCATTTCTCAGTGAGTGACGATGTTCCCAGGTCTCAACCTGAGACCGAACACTTTGGTCCAATCAATCGACGGGAAAATCAAGAATTCAATTCAATAATTAATATATGACCCGTTGCACAAGAGGTGGCTCTCGTGGCCCAAGTGGTCTAGTGGATAACGCTTTGGCGTTTGAAACTATGGGTACTGGGTTCGAGCCTCGGTGGGAACATCATCACTCAGTGAGAAATGCAGGTACATCCAGCTGACGAGTCCCAAATAGGACGAAATGCGCTTTATCCTGGATTCCACTGCTAGCCACCATCCACCAATTGTATATAAACATCACTTCTTAATTCATTGAAGTGAACTATGGGAACTGTAGCCGAGATATTCAGTCGTTAATTCAGATTTGTTGACAGTAGTGCCTTGTGGTTGTTGATCTGATTGACAGTGGCTTGACATTTGTATTTTGACGGTAGAATACTCGCCAACCACCGAGCGGAGTTAAGGCTAAGTGATTTGCCAATACACGCTTCTTAATCTCACTTAGTTTGTAGACTGACGGATAGTGATTGCGTCCAGAAAAAAGGGATGGTCGGCTGCTTGGCTAGAGACGGAATGAAAACAAAAAGCTGTAGAATCCATAAGGCACATGTCGTCCTACTTCAAAACTCGTCTAATGTGAATTTACCGCCATCTTAATGAGTGAGTGGGTGATGGTCTTCTAACTGAAGATATAGGGTGGGAGTGAAATTAGGAGGTTATAAAGTCATCAAAACAATCCATTAACTTATAGATATTAGTAACAAGATATCTAAGTGCTGAAGGAGGGGTGAAAATTTATTAATTACCGAGTCCAAAATAAGTTAATTAATTAGCAGCCGTTAGCAACAGTTATTACATAATCAAGGAATTTGTAAAATAGCGATCATGACTTAGAAGAATAGGATTACTGAGTAGAATTACGTAAAATACGAATAGGTTAATGCAATTAAATAGCTGCATAGGGAAGGGACAATCGTTTTTAAAAACTTAACATACATTTATGTGGTTGGCCATGGCAAAACAAAGGGCTACACAAATTTCTTTTGAACAAGCCTATATACTTGCCTTGTTCATCAGATGAATCTCAGCTGACTCTAATGTTTGTAATGAATTTCATTACTAAATATCATTAGTCAAAACGATTCTGAAACATATCTTACAAAAGTTAAATTCCTTTTCAGTATTAAAATGACTGACTGAATGATAACAGACTGACTTTCAACGTAGAACTTTTCACAGAATTCCAGCAGCAGGCCAAGTTGTTGCACAAGGGTAGAGTAAAAATTCAGAAGTACTATAATTAAGGGGAAACATTCAGGAGAAAGAATGGTGACACTGGGGAACCCTAGGGATTTATTGTACGTGGGAGATTACACAAACAGTGACTGCATCTGTACCACTGAGAACAAGGATTTTGAGCTATAGCACCAACAGTCCTCAGTTGCCGTTGTTTCTCATTGCCTCTAGAACCCTAGCCATGCGTCATGTACCTGAAATCTGCAATAGAAAATTGCATGGACGGATGGCAGCTCTTCAGTTGACTGTCTACCCATAGCTTCTTTTCAACCCAATTTCTATGTTATCTAACCTTACTCATATTGGAAGGCGGTGGCTTGGTATGTGCAACACTCGTCCTAACCGTCTCAGTTAACACGACAGATAGACTGCAAACACCTGTGGTCAAATCCAGCTGGTCTTCTTATATCTCGTACTTTTAATGGCTGCTATGTCTCACTTGTAGTCATACAGGAGGAGGAGGAGGAGGAGGAGGAGAGACAACTGTTGCTGAGTAGTTGGTCAACAGCTGGGTATCAGTCATATCTACACCAGAGATGATTGATAATTTGGTAAAATACCACACCAGTCTTTTGTATCCAATACAACATTGAAAACAAAATTTTAAATTGTATTCATTATTATGAATAAGAGTGATTCTTTTTTACAAAATTAAAATAGTTGAGAACATAGTAGTGTGAAAATCTTTTTTTGTTTTAATTAGCATATTTTTTGTTCAAGGTGTTCAATGTGTTCATTTTCTGTTTTTTGTTTTAAAAATTTTCAGATTATGTATGTTACAGTTCTTCTGCCTTATCTATTCATGTTTATTTTACTTATTCGTACTCTTCTACTCGATGGAGCATCAGTCGGATTAATTCATTATCTGAAACCTGACTGGTCGAAATTGACAGATATGACAGTAAGAGAGTGTTAATTTGTTTTTTTTTTAAACTGTGCATTCTCTGAGCTGCGTAGTCATTTAATTGCGAACCTCTTATTGTCCTTCTAGATAACATCTTCAGTACACAGTCTTCAATGTGTGTGTGAAGTGTGAACTTGGTTAGATTCACTACATGAATAAAATAATTGTCTCTTGTGGCAACGGCCTTCGTTTTGATTGGCTGCTTTTAGCTCGCTTTCATATCGATCATTTTTTAACGATTTTTGATTTGACTTTTTCTGTTTTGTGACTGAACTTCTGCAACTTTATAAACTGGACAGTGTGTCTGTTATATGTAAGCACTGACATTCGTCTGAGGGACAATCGGGCTTCTAGGGATTCCTTCATATTCAAATATGATAGAGAAGATTTGTAGCTCATATTCATTTTGTGTTTTCCTTGTTTCTAAAATTTCTGATGTCAACAATGGTTGTCTACACATGGATCGCTCACATAAAAGCAGGAATGCATGTCGTGTATCTTTTCACAAAAGCTAGCTAGACAGTTCATATTCTCGGTCTTAGAGTCGAACAGGACTCTCAGTTTGCTTGCGAATCACTAATCAATTTACAATGTACACAAATGGAGGTCATATCTTGGCGAAGTTCAACAATAGCGTCCCAGGAATGCGAACGCTTCAATGATCTTGAACGCATGCTAGTCGTTGGCTAACGGCACCTATCATTATCATAGCTGAAATATCGACGCTATTCATCAAATAAGGAGCACCAACACTTGAATACCAATGAGATGCTCACTGGCGACTGGCCCTATTCAGGTAGGTAGTTACCTGGGTTCCAGTGGGAAGTCGTGACCAGTAGGGTGCAGCGGGTAGGATGTGAGGACAAATACTCGCCGAAGACATTGGCTAGCGGTCGCGCTATGTCGTGAATTGGCAGAGGTTAGAATTCATGGGCCATTGGATCGGGTCCCAGTGGCTTAATGGTATACGAGGTTGCCTTGTAACCGGAAGGTCCTGGGTTCGAATCCCGGTGGGTGCGTACTGATGAAGAGTCCCAAACTAGGACGAAACAGCTGTCCAGTACTCCCAGGCTTTCCAATGGTTCTCTAACTAATGTCAGCTCATGATAAAATCCTGAAATGAGGAGCAAGTTTCACCTAGATAACTTTTTTAATTACTGTTTGGACAATGTGTTAATATCTCGTTAGGGTTAGGATAAGGGTTAAGTTAAGCATTGGGGTTGGGGTTAGGGTTAAGGTTACGGTCATAATTGGGATTAGGGTTAGGTTTACGGCGGGATAAGGATTGTCATTAGGGTTAGGATTAAGGTTAGGGTTGCGATTAGGGATAGATTTATAGTTCATGTCGTTTATTTTAATTTGTTTTATCCTCATTTCCCTTGTATGTAGTCGTCGATCCTCTTACTGAAACCATAGTAATTTAACCGAGGGCTTTGGAGAGGACTGCACAGCAGGAGTAGAGAGATGAAAGATTCACAAAACAGCACATCTTCAGTCACTTCGGTGAATACATCTATAGAAACTAGTCCAACTTAGCAACTGAAGCTCTTCATCATAACTGGGACGTATTTTTAATTCATTTCAGAGAAAGATAATCTGTTTAATATGTTTTCATGCATTTTCTTGTGAATATACCTCATTTTTTGTGCAAAAATTCCTCATTTTTATGATTGGTTGGCTGAAGGTCACTCGTGCGTTCGCATCCCTTGGGACACTATTGTAGAACTTTGCCCATATTTTCTTCTGAGATTAAAAACATTTAGGTCTCACATTAGATGTCATCTACTTGGTACCATCATTGCGTGGTAATCAAGAAACCACACATATATGTATAGAACTATACGTACTACTGACTGAATAGTTGAATGCTACTCACATCAACCAGTAGTGTTTGCTAGCAAACTGATAGGATCCCACATATTTCGGTAGTGACTGTTTAATTTTGTATATTATCATTCTCACGCATTTTGGTAGTGACTGCTAATTTTATATATATTGTATATTATCATTCCCACACATTTTGTTACTGACTGTCAACCTCGCACATATGGTATATTATCATTTCTCACGCACTTTGTTATTGGCTATTAAGATCAATTATTTCAAATGCTGTTAGCTGTCCATGTTGTTGTAAAATGTATAAATACCATGGCTTTCTTTACCGTTGTTGCACCTCAATACACAGTCACAGTCCAGCCTTTGTCTTTTGATATTTGCGTGCTTTACTAAGTCGGAAGGTACGACGAGCAGATAGACAGATTAGTTCAGGCGCAGACAGAATAAGGTGAAAACGTCTTCATTCAATTCCCTACAGTTATAACACAAACAAACACCTAGCATCTAAACATCCAACGTTCATTTCTCTCATTTGGGGTAAAGTTCTTTTCCAGAGGGGTGTGTGCGGATTTACTAAGCTGTGAGGTGGAAAGAACCGAATCAGTTCAAACTATCCGAAATTTGGTTAACTGCTCAGGTGACAAACTAGTGATACTACAAATGAAATCATCATTTTCATGGTTTCTTGATTACCACTGAAGGCATCAAACAGATCACCTAATGTGTGTGATATAAATAATCTCGATTGTGTTGATCTTGTCCACATTTGTTATTTTGTTCCGAGTGGAATATATGTTTTCAACAGTACGTCTCCATTACACCCTGTTGTCTGTAGTCCTATGTAGCTGGCCGACTCGATGACTGTCCATAGTCTCTCAACTCTTTCGCATCACAAGATTTTCTCCATGTCACCTTCGGACCTACAACCAGCTCGTCGTTTCCAATTTTAGTTCTACTCTACTACTAGACAGATGAAAAATGTTCTCATTTCTAAGTATTTTTTGGTTTCGGTTTATTCGTTTCTTCTTGACTTCTATATTTTCGTTATAAACATTTTTTGGGGGTTGTCCATTCTCAGTAGGTAGAGTTCTTTTGGGATAGCTACGAAATCCTCTTCATTCTCCGTATCTTTTAACACTTAATAGTTCCTCTAATTTACGTCATATTTTTAAAATTACGTAGTGGCTAAAACTTTCTATCTATACCTCGAGATTACTGTGAAATAAAAAGTGTGCAGAAATTCTGTAAATTATAAAATCATTTTGCTTAGGATGTAGAAATTTGAAAAAAAAAAAAAGAGTTCATGAAATAAAATGCAAATTCGTATTATCTTACAACTGCAATTATCTTCATTATTTTCTTTGTTCTGATTGACGACAGAAAACTTAGCGAGGCGTTCGAAGTAAAATACAAGGGGTAAGAAATGAAGGACACGCTTTCATCAACCAGGAACCATTTTGAAAATCTACACTCAGCATATGGAACCAGATTCGAATTTTCCGCACAAATGTTCAGTGAGTCAGTTCTTCCATTAAATGAGTCAGAACCTTGGCCAGTATGCGTCAAGGAAAGCATTTCCAAAAAGTTACTGCAAACTTTTATCGAGAGCTACCTTTGCTTTATATTGAAGATCAAATAGCTAGCTGACTGGAAAGAATTATCAACAAGAAACTGTGGCACGGAACTATCCAACCAAGAGCCGATTGCTCGAAAAATATGTAGGAGAAAATGCAAATTGATTGGGCATACGTTGAGGAGGCCGTCGGACGACACTGCTCGCCAGGACCATTAGCAGAATCCCAATGGAAATCGACAGGTTGACATGGAAGAGATCATGTGACGAAGAGATGAGAGATTATGGGCAATCATGGAATCAGATGAGGAGGACAGCAGAGAACAGAACAAATTGCAGATATGTTGCTGAAGCCCTGTGTTCCACTGAGAACCCAAAACAATTCGTCATCACACTAAACCACCTTCCTTGATAAACTTTGTTTTAATACCAGTCAGGGCATATGTACTATTACTTCTGTTATTTGGTCTGGTGATCTTTATTGTTATTTTGACCTTTAATATGCCCTTCTAATTTGACCTAAATTTATTTTCTCACCTCTTAACTCTTTATTAATTCCATGTATATACTCCTATGACAAGTTCGTGTGTGATCAGATTGTTCGAAATGTGTTGCGCAAATAAATTACAAGCCGATTAGGACAAATTACATCTTCTTACTGCTTTGTTTATACTAACTGTTTTAAATAACAATATTCTTTAGTCAGACTAGCCAAGGGAACCAGTTGTCTGAAAATTCTATATTTGTATGCGCATTGTCATTCCTTCCTGATCATCAATAGGTTCTTATTGACTGTTTTTTTTTATCAAATTTATTTTAAGGTATGGTCTGATGCTGGAACGCAAATCTTTTTTAGTTACAGTCTTGGTCTGGGTGTGCTGACAGGTTTTGGAAGTTATAATAAGATTCATCATAATTCTTTAAGGTAAGTAAGTTCATTAGATATATCACAATTACAAAACATTATGATATTCCATTAGTCTTGTTAATGTTCTCTTTTAAATGATGACTTAGCAGAAGATTAATGATATGAGTCACCGATTTTCTATCCATTTAGTGCTGAATAGACAGACACCTTTCTTTCTAGAAGCCTAACAATCCTTTAGAAAGCAATTCGATGAATGGTAACTAGCGTCGTAGTTCAAAGTAGACATTTTGTCTTATTTGGGACATATCGTCTGGATTGTTGCACATATGTACTCTTCAGCGCATTTTTCAGTCTGCGACATGATCGTCACCTTTGATGACAAGCCACTTTTTCAGATCCAACCTCCATTCATACCAATGATCATCATTTCTGCGGACTAACTGGAAATAATTCGATGGATAGTGACTAATAGTTGGTGAAATTCGCCAGGATATATATTTCATCCTATTTTGAACTCACCAGTCAGCTGAGTGAATGTACTTAAAGTCCCCAATGAGTGAGTAAGTAAGTAATGGCTTTCATACTGACACTCGAGCCTAGTAGGCTGATATGTGTGGATCGATAGCTTGTTTAGAAAATAGACTAATCAGAATTGTTTTATAGATAGATCGATAGATAGACAGTCAGACAGCTACTGAATTTATCGAATTATGACACCTACGCTATTAGTTCATGTATCTTACTAACTGACTGACTGTTTTTTGACATGGAACTTTGCACCGATGTGCAGCAGTTCGAGTCGCCACCCTCCATGTAGCATACAAAGCAAAAGAGAAAAGTAGAAGAAATGCAAAATAGAGACAGTAAACAGGAACATGAGACAAAAGGAATAGTAATGTCCAAGAATAATATAGTTTTATTGGATATTACAAGTCACAGGGAGTGGGTGCATTGGCGCCTTTGGTTTTAAGAGTTTCGAGAATCCCAAACAGGAAGTCTGTACCTTCCTACGTGGCTTAGACTAACTGTTGTGGATTTCATTGACTGGTGCCATGTTTGGTTTGACCACCACTGGCTCTTTTCCAACCTGACCCATTCTATGTCAGCTAACATTGCCCGTTGAGGAAAGCGATGACTACGCAAACGTAACACATGTCCTAACCATTTCAGTCGATGTAACTTCACAACCTCTTCGATTGATTTCCCCTGCTTACCTAGCACTCGAACGAGGACTAACTTCAATATCGCTCACCTTATTATACCACTTCACACGGGAGATAGAGCTCAGGCACCTATGATCGAAGACAGCTAATCTTTTCATGTCTTCCAATATCAATGGCTAGGTCTCACACATAGCTATAAAGGAGGATGGAGCGGACGGCTTCTGAACAGTACACACGTCCTTTGGTCGATAGTCGGACATCACATGTACACCAGAGACGGTGTAAACTGGCATATGCAAAACTAGCCCTCTGTATCCGTGCTCAGACTTCGTCAGAGATCAACCTGTTGGCGCTGGCTGATGCAACTTCTCAAATGAGTAAGCGGTCAACGAGCTCTACCACTTCATTCCCTATTTCTAAGCTAGGAGTTAATGTAGTCCAATTCTGTAGCATCATCTTACTTTTGGCGGGAGCGAATCGCATGCCAAACATGCGAGAATTACAACTCAAAACGTCCATGTATGTAGTATTCTTTGTGTAGTATATGAATTAGTGGTGTGGATATGCTTGCAATCCGCAGTGAGTGACTGACTGACGATGTCCCCACTACAACTTGAACCCTACATCCATCCACTTTCGTTCAACCACAACAGCTCCACCTACTAGACCATCTGAATCGCACGCCATGTTTTCAGTAATTACGAATCAAAATCGATTCGAAAACCATTGAAATTTTATAGGAAACCATTAACAGCTGTTTCGCCGCTGTTTAGTACTCTTATCACCATACAGGAATGATCCTATTAGGGATTTAGCTGAGTAGTTCCACTTTATGAGACGTGAAATTAGGCATTCTAAAATTAGGTATGTTGTGTCCACTGATTCTTCCCCCTCCCCACACACACACACATACGGAGAGGTTTAACAAGATCCATAGAAGTTTGATAATTTCCGAGTCCCTGACCCATTGAACTGGTGATCCCCAAGGTGGCTTCCACTTACTTTGATTGGAAAGTAGCCAGTAACTACTGTAATTTGTCTGGCCCTTTTGTTTGGTACGAAATGAAATCTGACACACACTTAGGAGATAAATGAGGAGGAGATATCATGCCCTATAAAAACCGTAGGATGAAACCCGAATGGAAAATAACTAGTTGAATGTGCTTCGAAAGATGAGATAAAGAATAGACAAGTCGAAAAAGAGTCTGGAGAACAGAATGAAGTGGAAATGTACTACTGAAGCCATACATTCCACCTAAAGGAACCTAAAGGAATAGCTATAATAGCAATGTATATCAAAATGGTGAGATCAGATCGGTTAGTCATATTATGATTATAGAAAATCAATATTTGTACAGTTTTAAATTCTGACTGACTGACTGACTGACAGATTATCGATCGATCTAGTCAGTCTGTAGTCACTTATGCATAACAAGGTTGGGAATCTAATGGCTTCCAAGTTCCCATTTTGACTTTTAGTGAATCGCTTTGATTAATTTTCGTTTCCAAAGAAAATTTACCTTCAAAGTATGAAAAATTCCCATTTCAAGTAATTAAGAACACATAATTCCACAGCAAAGAGATTCCCTCATTTTTGTGACTTGCCTTCAAACCTGTGTAGCATTAGTTACTTTGGTGGTTTAAATATACGCAATACTGACAGAAGAATGGAGTAGTACCGGGTTCTTCACTCACTTGGTTCATTTCTCGCTGACTGATTCTTCCATGGTGCATCTTGAGTCAGATATCCTCACAACCAACAGTCAAACGGGTCGATAATTATATCGTCATCAACAATGAAAACACTGACCTGAACAAAATCCTGTAAATCGTCAACAACGCTCATCAGTCGATCAGCTGAACTGATAAAATGGAAGCCGAATTTGGAAGGTGAATTATCTTTGCTAGATGTCCAGCTAACAAGACGATCAGGCAGAAACCTACAAAGATCAATCTATCGCCAACAAATTATCAGAATTTTATCACAGTGAGCAGAAAAAAGAAATCTTATTGCTTCCCTTGTGTCTAGAATAGGCGGACATTTAAAAGATGGAATATCTTTTCTCCTCAAAATTTGGGTGTGCCAACAAAACAAATAATTATAGTATGTAGTGGCCGTATCATTAGGATATTCATTGTCTAGATGACCGATTCATTGCTTCCGACACGACATGGCACGTACTGTTATTCAATCAACTCCTCTGAGTATTGATATCAGTAAAAAGTTTGAGCATTATGGATTAGATCAAATAAAGTATAATTATATTTCAGTAGTTTACACATAGTAATAAGTTTTGTTATAGGTAATATTTCGAGCAAAATTACTGCGCTTGTTCACATCACTGTTGGAATTGTTTTATTCACACATTTATTAAATAAAATTCATTATGGAAATAGAGAATGAAATTGGGGAACTGCCTACGTTAGACTGCAAACTACAAAGAATGACAGATGGTAGCATAAAAATGACGATATGTAGAAAAAACCACACACTCTGGAAGATTCCTTGATTGTCACTCAGCTCATCCACTCACAGTAAAACGAGGATTAATACAAGGTCTTGCAGACAGAATACGTAGACTTACAACACCATCAGAGGATCAGTGTAAAGAAATAAACGTCCTATTCAAAATACTACTCAAAAACAACTACCCAAAAGAATTTATGAAAGATAATATAACAAAGAGAAAAAAGAGAGTAAAACCGGAGAATAACAAAATGAAAGAATCCAAAAAACAGTCACAATACCATATAGAAATGGTACATCAGAGGCGATTCAAAGAAACCACAAAATATCGGCATTCGAACAACGTTTAAACCGATGATAATTTTCTCTGGACAGTCGACCATTCAACCTTCATTATGGAGTCAGCGAAGGCAGCTGCTGAGAAAACTCTGCTGCAAATGCTTTCCGTGACGCGCTGGCCACGTTTCTCACCCATATAGAAGAACTGAATGGCAGACTGACATACAATTTGTGTTGAAAATTCGAATCTTATTCTTTATGCTGTGGTGGAGTAGAGGAGGTTCGCAAACTGGTTTCAGAGTGATCAAGATGTCTGTGTTTCCTTTCCTATTCTGTCTTGTTTTGACATTTGAATTCGTTCCGTGGGGTGTGGTTGAGACAATGTTTTCTAGAGGGATGAGTGGAAGAAGTGACTCCTTTCAAATTTCTCTCGTTGATGGTGACTAGTGCTGGTTGTTGTTGCTTTTTATTATTTGTCTTCATCACTCTGTCCTTTCTATGTTCTCCTGGAGTCTTCATAAGGGAGACACTAACGAGAAGTTGTTATTCAGTGGAAGGACTCATAAATTAGCATTCAAAAGAGAATAGATGAATAGTAATCTTACAGACCATTTCCGAAATGAAAGTAGGCTTATTTGTTTACAAGATTACCTTTCAAGGGAAATAATTTAACAAGTCAAGATAAGACGCCTATCGTCGCCATGTCAAAATGCGTTTATCAGTTTATATTTCTGGAGACAGTGCTCTGTGAAAATGGCTACCTACAGCTCCGCCGTATCACAAAATCCATGAAGCCTCTGACTACTCAAACCGCCCAAACTTTGTGCTCCTAAAATATTTCTCTACTTGAATCTATAATTCAATAGAGGGACTCAGCTGCTGACATAGAGAGAAAACTGTTGACCTACTGCTGACTGAAGAGAACTAATTTTGCCGGGGGAAATTCGACTAACTTTCTTCACAGTTCCAATGATTTACATGAAATTCGTGAAGGAAAAGCTACCAATGTGTATCTATCAATTCATCTGCTCCATTCGACTTAGGTATATCGGCCATACTCAGCATTCACTATCGTTCACAGTCATGGTTTAGTAAAGGAAAAAACACATCCTTTCTGCTATAGTTGTATCCTGAAACACCTGGTAGAATCTCGAAACCAAACTAACCCACAAAAGAACTTTGAAGTCACCTTCCCAGAATAGGTGAGAATCTTGCTAAAAGAGTACGTATCAAACTCCTCAAACTAGAGAATTGATGGCAATCCACATACACAGGAAGTCCCAAACCATTTTTACAGAGGAAGAAGTTTTGTTCAGTCACTAAATCTACAATGAACCTAATCTGTCCTAAAACTCGATATGTGATTCCCGTGGTTTTTGTTTCTCTGTTGTGTTATTTTCTTTCCTGAACCCGTAATACATTTCCACCCTTTATTAACGCTGTTGTTGTGACTATATATCTTCTAGTTGTTTTTCATTTCCTTTTCCTTTAACTTATTTGAAAGATTTATCACTATTAAATACTAAAAACGTCCATTTCACGTTAGAAAGTGAACATTTTCGGCAAGTGGATGCCGTTGCTATGGGGAGTTCATTAGGACCTTTGTTAGCAGATGTTTACATGTCTTATGTTGAAAACTTATCCCTTAATTTAATTTCAAAATTGCCCTTCTATAGGAGATATGTAGATGATATCATTTTGATATGTGACGATCATGAAGATGCGAGTCGTCTGTTAGACAGACTTAACTCGGTACAGAATCATATTAGTCTTACATGCGAGGAAGAAAGTCGCAATCAGCTTACATTTTTAGACATACTTCTGAGTCGAAGAGATGATGGTTCAGTAAGACGATCAATCTACAGAAAGCACACTTGGACAGGACAGTACCTTAATTTTCACAGTTTCCGTCCATTACAGTATAAAAGAGGCTTGGTGAAATGTCTATTTAAGAGGATTCAACGAATTTGCACGGCTGATTTTATAGACAAAGTAAACGAAATATTGATGCATACTCTTGTTGAAAACGGATATCCTTTAAAATTTTTAAACAGGTGTAGATGTCAATTAGTTTCTAAACCTACAGTCTATGTTTTCATCAAATTACCATTTAACGGGGAAATAAACAGTAGCATTTTGAGACAAAGGTTGAATTCGATCATCCGTAGGACCTATGAAGCAACCCAGCTTGTAATTAAGGAAAAAGCCAAAAATATGCTGCATTGTAAACCTCAGAAGTGCACAAGTGATTATGTCACATCCCACTCTATTTACCAATTCTCGTGTGTGTGTAGACAAATGTACATAGGGAGGAGTAATCGTTCTTTGCATGTGAGGGTGGAACAGCGAGCATATCCCGAGATGGTTAGAAAAACAAATGAATTGTGAAAAACGCATAGATTCAGGTGTCAGGCTACCAACTTTGTCTATAGCTAAAGAACTAATCGAGATTATCTATAAGATTGATGTTAACTCAACCTTTAAGGTCATCTATAAAAACGGTCAAGGGCGCTTATTAAAATACGCCAAGGCTATAGCTATTCATAAACTTCAATCATACAGAATGGAATTTTCAGAGTTTCGTGATCAATTAAAATAGAGAATGAAAGCATCCATTTACCAAGTGAGGGATCAAGGGAAGAACGAAAGCTGCTTCTTTCAGCACACACACACACACACTTAAATCAGGTTTCAGGGGTTTGATGAAGATTGCTTGATCAGATATGAGGAGAACTGAGCTGTGTTGTCTATTGTTAGTTTTGAAGGATTTTGCAATATCCACCTCATAACCTACATCAAGGAGATGCCTAATAATGCCACTGATGAGAGCGTTTGTTCCCTTGAGATGTAGACTTTTGTGGTACATGTTCAGAAAATCAGAGGTGTGTCCTTATTTTTTCTTTTCTCCCAATGTAACTGCTCCCGCAGGTACTTGTAAATTTGTACACTTAATTGGAGTTAACATGAGAAGAGTATCTGCCAACTTTTAATTGCAACAAAGAGCATGTTGTCCGATGAGCAGGAACCAAGTTACCGAAGTGCAGGGGATAAGCTCGAATTGCTGACGTATTCAGTCTTCTGTTGACTAGTCCTGCAGTATAATATCACCTTCAAAATTAAGTTGAATGAAGATTGGCTTTCTTCCCACTGTGATTTGTTTGGCATCTCAGACTTACGTGCATCTTTCGCACTTAATAATAAATCACTAGGGGTAACCATTGCTCTTCAACATCTTTTCGACAATTGAGACTACTTCTAGTTTCTCTGTACAACACATTCTCCTGACTCGGTAGAGGGTAGTTTTGACTAGTGCTTGCTTTTATAGCTACTTAGACAAAAACTATTAAAATGTAGGTATTGTCCATTTCATCTCAGCTTTCGGCAAATTGATCTCTGGAGACCACACCATCTTCCAGGAGATTCATGAAATGAAACTCCTCATGATTTTCATGTTCCACAGTATTCCTTGGCGTTGTTGAATAATCTGAGTAGGTAGGAAGCATAACGCTTTCATTTTTGGACACTACAAATGTGTCATCTGTGACATATCGACAGTAGGCAGGTGTCTCATCAAGATTGCATGTTTCACCTTTGTTCTTTCAAGGTTGAACGTGAAGTTGCCTATTAAAACAGGGCTAACTGAAATGCCCATAGCTATACTGCCTATGCGGAGGTAAAGGGTGTTGTATCAAACTAACATTGTGTATCTATGGTAAGCATTAGGAGTATGCATTTGAATACCAGCAGCAGGTGTGGAAGTATGCAAGTTTACATGTATCTGCACAAGCTGTCGTTCTTGGTTTATTCATATTATTAGTACTGTTGTCACCACTACTGTTGTTATCATTAGTATTATTCAGTTCGCAATTCTTGACATATTCAAGTTCTTTCTCTGATAACTTCCCGTTTTTTTAAGTGGTATAATTGAACCGTATCTTAATTTTAGTCTCTTATGTTCCCTACCTCCCCCCCCCCAAATTTATCCATCTGAACATGACCTAAAAAACATTCACACTTGTCGTTTTTAATGATTGACTCATTAATGTAGTTTACTTACTTATCAGTCTTATACCTCCTAATGTAATTCTAGACATCCCAGTATGTAGAGCATTTAGCTGGACAGGAGCTCTGTCTGAAATTCATTAAATAGTAATCCTGCTTTATTAATTATCCTTTGTTGTTTGTTTTAAGTTTGACATTAGTAGTGAAAATTTGTATTTTTATTTTCCCTTCCTTTTGTTTTTGCAGAGACTGTTGTTTATTCGCCGTGGCCAATACCTTTACAAGTTTACTTTCCGGTTGTATAATATTCGCTACACTCGGCTATATGTCGCATATATCAAACATTCCGATGAATTTGATTGCAGAATCTGGTCCAGGGCTGGGATTTGTTGTTTACCCTAAAGCTATCGGAACAATGCCATTGAGTTCATTTTGGTCAATATGCTTCTTTTCAATGATTATCTTACTTGGGATTGATAGTATGGTAAGTGGAAACATTTTGAGAAATACTGTTGTTAGGGTTCTCAGTTATTTTTTGCATTCCTTTTGAGTTCCCATCACGGAACATGAGGACTTCAGTGCCCTTATAAATGCTAACAGACCCTTATTAGTGAAACAAAAAACATCATATATATATATATATATATATATACATATTGTTAGCCACATTAAAGTTCTCAAGCGCAGTAACTGTTTTGATTGGTCAGTGATCGATCTAAGGTCAAACTATCCTGTCCAGTGAGGCTATTTCCAAACAGCAACGTAAACTGAATCCAGATTGGAGGGATAAACGCTTCTACCTGCACAAACATACGCACTAGATTGCAGGTAACGAGGTGATGGGAATATGCTGGGCCGATAAGACGATTACAGAAGATCTGGGCTTCGGCAGTGGATGATCTTTTTTTGATGTCACACAAAAACTCGAAAACTGACAAGCAAAAGAAGCAGATAGCGAAGACAGGACTTCAAATGAGCATAGAGAGGAATGAGGTGACAAATATGCTACTTGACCAACAACAACAGTGAGAGAAATTTGAAAGAGGTCACTTCTTCCACACATCCCTCTAGGAAATACCGGCTCAACTACAGTCAGTGGTACGAATTCAAAAATCAAAAGAATTTTTCTCAGCAGCTGCCTTCTCCGGGTCCATATTGAAGGTTGAATGGACAACTGTCCAGAAAGAATTAGCAGCAAGGAGCTGTGTTAAGCTAGTGATGACAGTAGAAAGTAGGATAAATTGAAGATATGCTGTTGAAGCTTTATGGCCTATTGGGGAACCATAGGAACAATTATAACGTTGAAAGTCTAAACCTTCACAACTATGGGCATCAAAAGATGATTTCAGGTTTTGGATGTTTCCTATCAATCTACATTATGGAACATATTAATTGAACACCAGGTAGTGACTGATGTATCATGCGCGTCAGGTCCTTCGTTTGCCGCAGACTGAACTCACTATCAGTCGAATAAGCAGTGTGGCAACTATGCACCGGCACAGCTGGCTATCACGCTGCACACTGGATTGTTGTTAGATGGTAGAAGCCAGCAAAGGGGGGGCAGCTGCTGGTCAAAGTCTTGAGAAGGCCTGTTGGAAATGCTTTCCTTGGCGTGTCAAATTTTTCTAATATATAGCGTATATATATATGCATATAATCACTCCAGTGATCAATTTTTATACATTACATTTTTCCGCACAATATACTGCTTACTTTCAGTTTGGTGGCGCTGAAGGAATCATAACAGCTGTGGCAGATTATTTTCCAAAAGCATTAGCTAAAACTTGGATTCGTTGCACGTTTGTTGCAGGTGTATGCATAGTCAACTACTTAATTGGACTATCGATGGTCACCAATGTAAGCTGTGAATCTGTTTTATGTGTTATTACTTTTTTATTGAAGGATTACATACTACTTATTGGTTGAAATGAGTAGTTGTGTATATCTATCACTTACATGGAGATCAATGGTGTTTGCTAGCTAAATAACCTGAATGAAGTGGTCGAAACAATACGGGAAGGCTGTTTCGCTCGTTTAGAGGCCAAAATCATCAGTTCAATGTACTTAGCTGAGAAACAAAGAAAACTGAATTAGTTAAAACCATCCGATTTCTGGGTAGCTGAAGAGCTAGATAGCTACTTGGCGAATTGGTAATACCATAAATTGAATTCGCAATCTCCAAATAAGTTCGCATTTTGAAAACTGATTCTCAGTTTTCACGGTTTTGAGGTGGTGAAATTCCACCTCAGTTTCCTATAGAAACTGAAATTATTCAGTAGTGTAAGTGAGAAACTTAGAAACTGTGGTAGAATATAATTCCATATTAAAAAAAGTTTATTTTAAACATCACACACAGTGATGAGATGCAGTAATAAGAACTGGATGACAAGGTTTCCAGCATAAATAGTTACCACTCGTAATCATCATATCAATCAAGTCACATAGCTTCACAATTTGTCCTGTATATATTTTCTCTCTTATTCTCTCGCTCTCCAACTTCCCCTTGTTGTTTGTTGCCGATTTCCATATCTCCGGTATGGGCATTGTCACAGTCCGATTGCACTTGTGCGGTGTTGTGATTCGATAAACAAAGACTCAGTCAGTGATTAACCCCCCTCTCTCCGTCACACTATCTCCACCTAATTATATTAGTTTCTAATACTCTCACCCTGTCGCATCAACCCAACATATTGTGTGATTACATTCCAGTGAATGCGATGCAAAGGACAGGCTTTGACTTTCCTAGGTTGTTTAGCGTAGTGGGGGCAATCATTCTAGGTGTAGCTAAATTTACCCCATGCCGGGAATATACAAAGTTGAAACAGACGTCAATGTAAGGAGGGGGAGAGAGACAAAAAGAGAGAAAACATTTATAAGACAAATTGTGAAGATGTGTGACTGAATTGATATGATGGTTATGAGTGGCAATAATGTATGCTGGAAATCTTGTCATCCAGTTGTTAATACTGCATCATTACTGTGTGTGATATTCGAAATAAAATTATCTTACATGGAACGAGATTATTCAGATTTGAATAAAGTAAGAGCAACGGCTTGCGCAGAATAATGATGATACCATCATTGTTTGTTTCATTGGCTTTCCAACGGATACGTTTTAATGAACAGAACAATTTTAAAGCACTTACAAATGTGATGGCACAATGTCAGTTAATGACACGAGAGAGCACTTATCAGTTCACTTATTGCTGTGACGGGTCAATGTAAATTCGCAATTTGATACATATCCTGCCCAAAAATATGCCTCATGAACACTATCTTAAAATGTGGTTGCAGAAAAGTAACATTAACGGCTCTACATAAGGAGTAGTGTGATAACCCAACACTGATCACTCCTTCTCTACAAACACTGCCTTCAAAGTTATCTACAGTGTGTGAAGAATAATCCACCAAAGACAATAAATACACTTTCGTCTCCTTTAATTAAGTTGCTGAAGCTCTAGCCATTCAGATGCAGAAACCAGAACTATGCATAATCAGGAGAGAATTACTCAATCACTTCTTCTACCATCATGGAAACAACCACATTGTTACGGATTTCTCCCCACTTGATTTGCGTTTGTTTGTTAGTTTGTTTTTCTAACTCCTTAGAACTCATGTTCTTCTTAAGAACGCCCAAATAATTTCGTATTTGCCTTTGTTTCTATGTGAACATCCTGATCACAGCTCACTCATTAAATTATCCACCTTATTACGTAACTCTAATACCCTTCCTTATTCAACTGTTGTGATGCAATCATTGACTAATATTATCAAATCTAATTGTGACAACACTTCGTCACTTATCTTACTATACACTTTCATAAAAACCAAATTGAAATAAGTTTAAAACTTGGGTATTGTGGTAGAGTATAATTCCATTATAGATAAGATTTTATTTTGATAAACTACACAGTGTTGTACAGTAATACTAACTGATGACGTTACAAGCACAAACTATTGCTCATAATCATATTAGGTCACTCACACAACTTTCTTCTTTCATTTATATACTTGAGTGAAATTGGTTAGACATTAAAATAAAATCAATATAAGATAAAGTACATTCAGAAATAATAATGATATGAGTGTTATTGATCAAATACATTCAGATGAGGAATAAGACGTGTGTTTTTTTATGGTCAAAATAATTAACTTGTTAGAATGTTATGATGTACGTGAAATGAAGTAGAATTTTGAGATTATTTATTATCCTCCTCTGATTTGACTGACTGACTGGTGGTAATAATATCTTCCATATTTCTGGTATTTGCATTAAGTCATTTCTGTTGCTCATGTGTTGGGTGTAGACTCTATGATCCAGGCAGGATTCAGAAATCAATCTCTCTCTCTATCTCCACCTACACAGATTACTTCTTAGAATTTCGACTCTGTCCCACCCTATTGTGTGGTTGTTTGTTAATGCACGCAGTGCTGAGTTTTTTTTCTAAATTACTTATCTTCGTGGGACCAATCATTGTAACATCATCAGTTAATATTACTCTACAACACCATGTAATTTATCAAAATAAAATCTTATCTATAACGGAGAAATACCAAATTGTTTATAAATGCGACAGAACAGACAAGGAGGAGATAATAAATTCTCCGAAAAGGAAAGGTATGCCGAAATGACGTATGCTGAAATGTCTTTTGTTTTCATTAATGAGTCGGTGGCACAGTGGTTAGAACTCTCGCCGACCATGCAAATGCTCCTAGGTTCGAGACCCTGCCAACGCACACCTGATATCTATGGTCGGCCTGCGAAATTTCGGCTACCGATATCACATGCTGAAAATTGCAAACCTGTACCAAAATATACGATGTGGAATCAAGCTGTAATGAAAAAAATCTTTATGAACGGTGCTTAGAAATTACTTATATAGTTTATACCCAGATACTTCAAGTTTACAGAAAAGCAAATGCTTGCTTACAGTGGCAAAGGATTTACGTAATACAGACAAGAGGTGATTAAGATTATGAGTAACTAATAAATTGCGTGAGTTCAACTCAAATCATAGAAACAAGAGACGAGAAAAGTTACACTATATTAAAAGGGAGAGAGGTTACAGCCATAGATTACGCAATCAGAGAGAAGGAAAATAGAGAATGAAGACACCCATTTACCAGCTGCGGGCCAAGGAAAGACTGATAACTGCTTCTTTCTGAACACATATATATATATATATATATAAATCAGGTTTCAAGCGTTTGATAGAGATTGCTTCACAAAACACGAGGAGAAATCGAGCTGTTTTGTCTATTGATAGTTTTGAAGGATTTCGCAACGTCCATCTCATGACTCGTATCCAGCAGATGCCTGGCAACGACACTATTGAGAGCATTTGTTCTCTTGAGGCGTAAACTTTCTGGTACATTTTCAGTGAATCGAAAGTGTGTCCTTATGCTTTCTTTTCTCCCGAAGCAACTGCTGTCGCAGATACATGTCATTTTGTTGACACAGTTAGTGTTAGCAGGATTGTACCAAATATAAGATTACACAATGTGTTGTGATTTGTTTGACACCATAAATGGTTATCAGGATACCAAGCATAAATAAACTATATACTACTTATTAGTTGAATCGATTAGTTGTATACAGCTCACATAATTCATTAGTGCTTGCTTGCTTCTAGGAAACAAACACCTCGAACTGTGCAAACTGCGAATTGATTGGGAAAAAGTGAACTTTTTTGCAAATGGTTAATTTGAAAAAGGAATGCAGTGAAATAAACCTTTTAGTTTTTGTAATGATTTTCATTTCCTTATCTCTACTATCTCTACTTATCACTAATACTCCCTTGAGTTCTTCTGTAGAACCTAAGTGATATGTATCCACATATAATTAATATATGTGTGTGCTGTTGTCTCTCTTCTGTTTGCTCGTTAGTCTGTGACCACTTCACTTGTAGACTTGTCTCCTTAATAATGTGTTCTCTGTTTGTTGACAGTCCGTTGCTTGACATATATCCATATATTTGTTGCATGTCTGCTATATTCGCTATGTATAATTGGATCGACACTCCATTATAATTACCATTCATGTTAAACTGTCTAATGATTTTCCCACGCTTGTCTGAATTTATATATTCGCATTCACAATTTGTGTAACTTACTTTACAACTACTTTACTTACAAACTACTTTGGTGAGACCATTTATTTTCGTCTCCTTGTTTTGGACAATAGAGTATCATCGCAAACCTAGTGTCTTCTGATTTCCGCCTTCTCGCGTCGGACTATTATTTCTCGACCATCCATATTAGCGACGAGTACATAACAATTTGCGACGGGAAAACTAGAACATAACACTAAGGCCTCAGCTGGAGCAGATCTTCATTTCGCTCTGCTGTCTAAAGTCATTTGTTTCAGCAGGTACCACGACTGCCTGTAAACTTTCACTTCGTCCTCATCTTCACAAAATGTCTCCCTGTTGTCACTCTTGGACTGACACCTGACTAGTTGTAAATTCCCCTCTTGATTTCTACTTGAGAGATTACCTGACTGGTTGAAGTATAACGTCATTCAGTGGTCTTCAATCCATTCCCATTTCTTTCTGCATATTTGTTGAGCGATAGTCTTTCTACTGGTTGCTTTCCAATCCCTGAAGTTTACTAGGCGGTCCGAAACCATGGAAACTAAAGACGTGTGTGTAGTGATCCTTTAACAGAAGAAGGCAAGAGACTTGGTTTCAGGCTTATTTTATTAGGGAAAACACACCATGTTCATACATTTTTAACCACATTTGAGGTCAGCTGAGTCAGAAGACGATATACAGTCCTGATTGGTTCTGGATTTTCTGAAGGTTAAACCTTGAGACAAAGAGTTGTACGATAAGATTACTTTCTGGCCATTAACGTTAAGCTAAATCCAGATTTGAGGAATAAGTAAATGCTTCTAATTCTGTAGCCATTGACAATTAAACATAACAGGATATGAGAAATACTAATTGCCTGAGAGGCAGTGATAGCAATATGTTGCCGAAATTAGGTAAGGTGAACAGATAGTCCAGGTTTTGAACCTCGGGACCTACTGTATAGTTAGACCATAAAGTACAATGTACAGGAAAACATTTTTCATATATATATATACTCACTAGGCAATGAACCATATTGAAAATCTCACTAAAGCCTTCAAGCAGATGAAGAAACAAGTAAGGCAAGGCTACTGAATACTATCATCGATGATATTCCTAATTGTAGTGGACTGGATCATACGACACACTGAGAGTAGGGAGAGAGAAGACAGGAACACACTGAACAGATAAGAAAACCCTAGGAGATGTGGATTTCACGCGTGGATGATTTATGTCTAATCTCATATAAACTTGAAGAATTACAGAGTCTTCCGCATAACCCAGTCCACTACGTCTGGGTGGTTGGTAGTAGGCAGTGGCCTTTTTCTGGCCCTGCAATCACTTCAAATGTTTCACTGAGTTATAAACTGTAGGTCACCTGACACATGCTACCTTTTGAGACTCTTTCCAGTAGCATGCAGCCATGAACCTACAAGAGAATAAGCACAAGATCTTCAGTTAACAAGCCCCAAACTATCAGGAAACATTTGTGTCTAGTACTCTCTGATTTTCAGTTATTCTGTCGAGCGATATTTCCTTTCAAAATGAGATGAACCAAATAGTATATCAGATGGCTTTCATCTTATCTTTAAGACAATTAAGGTTTGCTTGCCCATAATTCCACAAGGCATCAAAATAAGTTTTCTGAATTAGCACTTCACTAAGAAACTAATAAAGAGGAATTCTCCAGCCCATCATTTATAACTTTTATGTTGTTCTTTAATAATCCTTCAAAAAGTGGTGCATGAGTGGTTATGCTGTTTTTTTAGAATCATCACACAATATACAAATACGATTAACAACAATAATGAATGGTTGATAATTTCTTATTGGATTTTACTCTTGTGATCCCCAGACTAGAAACTTCAAGATGTTGACTCATATATGAGTATTGGAAACGTGCATTTTCCTAAAATCAGCATGAGATAGGTACTGTAATTACAAGTATATATTATGACAATAATCATACCAGAGAAAGCTTCTTGGACTCTGTAACATTGGACCAACTGGTGAGCGTCCATCAGCCTGGTGAAATCTGACTGTTTGTTTAGCTGATTAATGTGTAGGCATCTATTAGTGTGACAAAATGTAATTGGTTGGTGGGTTATCATTTGAATGAGAATGTATGGGTAATCAATATTTAAAAAACAAGCGACAAAAGTTAATAAAGCAGGATTTAATGAATTCATAAAATTTCGGTAGAACTCTTCAACTGGATACTTTACATATAAATTCTCATTGACTGACAGACCATCGGCCGAGCGAGTTAGTCTGTACAGTCACTTATGTTTATTATGTGGCCGTCATGTTGGTCGGCTCACCGTCTAGTTACTCTCTGAGTAGTTGATATTAGATGGTTGGAAGCAATCCGATACAGGAAGCCCCCTGACTTGGACCTAAGTTTCGTGCTTGAAAGCACTCATCAATAAGGCATACCTGGAACCTGGAAGGAACTCATGTCCCTTAATTTGAGATTCGAACTCGCATCACTCGGTGCTGTAGTCAGAGTCGTTACCACTAAGCTATTAGAGATTGTGATTCACCTCCTGTATGACTGTACTGGATACTTTGATTGGACACTAGTTAATAACAAGTGTCGGGAATCTAGTCTCTGTTTTCTGGAGACTGAATTATGTCAGTCAGGTGGCCAGATGACCAGCTGGCCATAAAGCGATGAGTAACAATGAACTCTGGCAAGGATATAGCCAACCAAGAACCTATTACCAAACAAATATGAAGCAGGAAATGGAGTTGTAATAGAATCATGGACGGGACTTCCAACCCGTATGCTAGCTAAGTGGAGGATGAGTCTCACCTGATTCCGAGTGTGATCGTGTGATGAACATGCGGAAATGAAATCTTAAGGGGAATTATTGAGACTGTAGAGAACAGAGAAAAGTGGAGATGCGTCTTGGCTGAAGCTGTATTTTCCATTTGAAGCCCAAGTGAATATTAATATAAGACCAAATGTAAAGTTTGAAAATGGTCCATTCCCCTTTTTACAAAACAAAAATGTTCATGTAATTTTTTTTCCTTTTTAGGGTGGAATGTATATTTTCCAACTGTTTGATTATTACAGTGGAAGTCGTATTATCCTGATTGTAGGCTTGCTGGAATCAGCAGTCATTGGATATATTTACGGTTAGTTATTGGGATTTTTTGTTTCTTTTTTCATTTCTTCGAGTTCTAAGAGGAACTTAGGGCTTCAGTAATGATCGCCTTCCTTGAACAGAGTGTAGTCGTTAGATTCAAACCCTATCACCTTCTTGTTTCCGGACTTAGTACCGGCTGAACGAGGCTTATGAGTGAATCATCATCGACCCAGAAATAAATCCTGAACCTTGTTCCGTGATTTTTGGCGAGAATCTGACGCTTAGCTGTTTACATAGCACTGTGCTATTGGAATGAGTACTTCTTTGCTGCCTAGCCAGGTAAAAGTGATGATCTAAACCCAGAGCTACTGATTCGCTTGTTCGCGCACGAGTTCGTCGATTGTGTGCCACTCGGTTTTACTGAGCTCAAAAAGACAAATCAGTCCAAAACACACCTGATTTCCGGTTGACTAGCTACTTGATCGAAAACATTATCATAGTACGTGGTTGCAGAAAGGTAACATTAACGGTACTACATAAGGAGGAGTGCTATAACCCAACATCTTGTCAACACACTGATCACTCGGTCTCAACAAACACCGCCTTCAAAGTTATCTACAGTGTGTGAAGAATAACCCACCAAAGACAGTATGATTCCGTCTTCTTTGAATCGCTGAAGCTCAAGCCATTCAGATGCAGAAACCAGAGCTATGTATACACGCAAAGAATTACTGAACAACTTCTAGTTGCCTCATGGTAACAACCACATTGTTGTTGATTTCTTCTCATTTGATTTTCGTTTGATTGTTTGTTTTTCTGAGTCATTAGAACTCATGTTCTTCTTAAGAACTCTTTTATTATTACTCATTTGCCTTTGTTTCTATGTGAAAATCCTGATTAAAGTCCACTAATTAGATTATTCATCTTATTGCGTAACTCTAGTACCCTTTCTTGTTCAACTATTATGATACACTCACTGACAAGTATTAACGAATATGATGATGACAATAGTTCATCACTTTTGTTAATACCCTCTTACATGAAAATGGGATTTTACACAAATGCGACTTTAAAGCTCTAAAAAGGAAAATGAATTAGCTGAAAAAAAGGGGGGGTGCATGTTTGGCGAACTACGCGTCTTGTTTCCCTAATGTCTAGATGAGAATGCTACTCATGAATTGAAATCTGATCTATAAGGCATTGTTGTGGAGCCTCTAAGTTCCTACTGTTACTAGTGATCATAAATCAGGTTCATTAGCATCATTCTACAAACTACAAGCTGAGTCTAGAATCAGAGTTCTCCAGCTCCCTTCCCCGACCAAGGTAAACTAGCATGATCAGCAGTCTAGACTTTAGCATTTGTCCTTTCACTCATTTTCATGAGTAAAAACACCCCGACCAGACAAAACTATATTGTTATTGTTTCCTTGGGTTCCTGGTGGAACATAGGGCTTCAGCTGCACGTCTCCACTTGCTTCTGTCTTTTGCTCTACTTTTCACCTGCACCCATGTTACTCCATGCTCTTTCAACTCATCTTCACACAATATCCTCCACGTCACCCACCCTTGCACTGACGTCCCACTCACCGCTTCCCTTTCGGCCTGGTTCCACTCAAGCAATGGCCTGACGCGCGTGCGATGTCACCCAGCGGCCTCCTCAGGGAGTGTCCAAACCATCTCAACTTTCTCCTGCATATTTGTTGGTTGGCGACTGGTTCTTGTTTTGTTTGTTTGTGCCCATAGTTTCTTGTTGGTGACTCTTTTCGGCCCGGCTATCTGATCTTCACTATAGAGCGAAGACATTTGTTGATGTAGGTCTGCAACAGGCTGTTGGAAATATTCTTTGTGACCCATCAAGTTTCTGATCCGTATAGAAGAACTATATACTACTGACTAATTGAGATGGGCAGTTGTATGTGACCACTCATAGCTCAACCAGTAGCGTTTGCTAGTCAGACAGATCGAAGTGATCTAAAATCTGAATAATGTTTTAGTTCACAAAGGAATCTGTGGCGAAATCTTATTCCGAAGTGTACATATTGTGAATTAATTTGCGGATCGCGGATTTTGTTTAGTTAGTTGGTTGGTTGGTTTGTCAAATTAATCCAGGGGTTAATTCTTTAGTGATATAATCGTTTAAACTACAGATGGCAGTAAAGATGAGATTGTTAAAGCTTTAAAGCAAGACAGGCTTTTATTTACTCTGAAGTATGTGTAGAGATCTACAGGACTTATTCCAAGATCCGATCTTCAATATTTATGTCATGTCAGTATTTTTAAGAACACAATATTCAGGGAGTAGAATCTTTTCAACGAATTTATTATGAAGCTATACACTCGTACATATATATGTTACATAACATAGTGTGAAATTTGCTACTTAGTATCAGTTCGATAGGTGTTTTAAAATCATAGTCAGGGATGGTAGAGGGACAGAAGTTGATCAAGTGTTCTAGAATATAACTTCGCATATTCTTCCTTTATGCCTTGTGAAACCATACTGGGACATGTTCTTGTATCTTTGTGGAAAGCCTTCTGTAGCTACGGTCAATGTGTACCTTGATCCACAAAAGTGGGTAAACTAATAGATACAGATGGAGGCAGCTGGTGAACGTTTATCGTAGTTTTGAAGCAAAGAAAGTCCTACTGACTGATTTAAAGGGACGATTTTTGAGCACATCTAAAGCCTGATTAGTTTTGAATATCAATTCATGAATATGGTTTACTTTGCAACTGAGTGTCAGTGATCAGTCCATGTTGCTTACCTTTCTTGGTTTTTGTCAATAAATCGGCTCGAGTAACTGCTTTTTTTCTGCGAGCGTGACTTTTAGAAGGAAATTTTTGAGTCAACACAGTAAGAATTACAAATGTTTCTTACCCTAAAGCTGGGCGAGTTAATTAGGTTCCGTTTCCAGGTGATAGGCACCGAATTATAAAAATTGTTTAGTTGTCCATTTCATGTACATTTCCGATGGATGGATGTTTTGAGAGATCCGTCATTACGTCTACTTAGGCACACTAAGAGGTATTCTTAGTTCAGATTCTTTTTCTATAGTGAACTGCAAAGAGGGACGGTAGCTGTTGAATGCAAACAAGATATCACCATCAATTACGCTCCTATCTGAGATAATGAAAGTGTCACTAAAATATTTTCTAAAAATATTGTCAAAGCGACCTATAGTTTGACTAAACTGGGAGTTTTCAAACTTTGTGATAAAACAATCAGCCAGCAGTGGGCCAAGTGGCGATCCCATTGCAATGTCATCTATCAGTCTAGGAATTTCACCATTGAAAATGAACTGAACATTCGACGTGCATCTAAATAAGAGTGTTTTGAGGTAGACTGTTGGCAACCCTGTGTCTAAACCATCAATGTAATCACACAAAAAGCAAACAGTTTCAATATGCTTCACAGCACTGACAGTTTGTGACAGGCTACTACAGACTTTCATCGACCGCCACCTAATTTTGTCCACTGCTTAGGTAGTGAAGATGGGAAGAACAACTGGAAAAGTTTAGAAAGATAACAAAGAACTTTGACAAACATCGAGGCTAAAAACGTCTCACAAAAGACGCCCTGCCTAGTATGAATCGGCTTGACATAGAAATCAACGTATGACTCATCATGTGATCGGATGACTGTAAAATCTCGGCATCTTATTCTTACCTTAGGCCTAGGCAAATCATCACCTAATCAGAATATTCTGTCTTTTGCCAACCTAGCCTAACCTCCTACCAACCAGAGCAGTCTATTCTCCACTGCTCTACGCTAATTTCAATGTGATTATATATACATATATATACATAGTAGCGTAACAGTCACAGGTGTCCGTCTTCGTCTTCTGATATTTATGTGGTTCAGTGAGGCGGTAGGCAACATAGACGAATAGGTGTATTTGGCATATCATTTGAGTTGTTCACTGAGTCATTATTATTACACCCAGGCATAAATCCACTCGGTTATGTCAACTGTCGACGCGACCATATCAGTTAGCAACAGGTCAAGTAACCAATTGATGACAATTTCATTCCAACTGGTGCCATAAGTCATAACAATTCTTTAAATGGAACTCCAGTGAGAATCGATAAATTGAACATCGGATTATTAGGACGGAAATGAAGATTATGGGCAGTAATGGAACTAGTTGGAAGTTTCAAATGAGGATGGCCTCTGTTTAGTAAGATCTTAGCACTGTCTTCACGATGCAGGGGGAATATTACTTACAAAAGTGTTAAGGCTCAAATTCAAACGTATGGCTTTCCCAACTAGACAGATAAGAGATATGCTGGTCCGGAAAACCCTGTTACACATGCATGTTGTGAAAATAGGCTCCAAAAATTCCAAAAAGACTGGATCAGGTATGAATCTTGATTTAGCTGTGTTCTTTAAGCTGGTTGTAATGTGGTGAGTGCTACTTACAATCAGACATAAGTAGTATATCAGTGAACGAGATCAGGTAAGTAACAATATGTTTTGGACACTAGAAAAAGGCAATCGAAGAAGAGAACTATGGGAAAGACGTTAAAAACACTGTTTAGAATCCAACAAGATATCGAATGTGGTTGCATCGACCAGTTTGCAAATGATGTGCAAATAAAGCACTGAAGATAAGGTATACTAAATGTAGCTGCAGTGAGTTTGTTCTAGTATACGCTCCTTCTAACCTCATCCGTGTGAAATGAAGATATCTTAACTCTCCATAAATGATAATATAATTGTCTTACTTCTGACAACCACTGTCATGATTGGTTGTCAATTTACATTGACCACTTTCATTCACTTGTAAAGTAAACTTTCTTATCACGTGATTCGTTTTTCATTAGTTGGTTTATAGTAATATGTTTGTGTGTCAATCGCTGATTCATTTGAGTATAAGGCTTCAAGAAATTCTAAGGTTGAATTTTTGGTGTTTCCCCTGTTGAAAATTTCTATATTCTCCCAATCAAATTGATGTCCGTAATTGTAAATGTACATTGATATGAAGCAGGAATACATATCCCGTGCCTTGTCACACCTAATTTATGTTCTCTGATTGTGATTCGAAGGGG